GAGAGTTACCTACAAAGGAGTTCCCATCAGACTATCAGCTGATTTCTCAAAAGAAACCTTACAGGGAAGAAGAGACTGGCAAGAAGTATTCAAAGTGATGAAAAGCAAGGACCTACAATCAAGATTACTCTCTCCAGCAAAGCTATCATTTAAAATGAAAGGGCAGATAAAGTGCTTTCCAGACAAGGTAAAGCTAAAAGAGTTCATCATCACCAAGCCCTTATTACATGAAATGTTAAACGGACTTATTTAAGAAAAAGAAAATCAAAATTATGAGCATTAAAATGGCAACAAATTCACAGCTATCTACAACTGAATCTAAAAAAGCAAACTTAAGCAAACAAGAACAGGAATGGAATCCTAGATAGGGAGACCATTTTGAGGGTTATCAGCTGGGTGGGGGAAGGGGGAGAATGTAGGAAAAGGTAGAGGGATTAAGAAGTATAATTGGTAGGTACAAAATAGACAGGGGGAGGTTAAGAATAGTATAGGAAATGGAGAAGCCAAAGAACTTATATGTAGGACACAAGGACTTGAACTAAGAAGGGTGGGGGTGTGGAAAGAAGGAGGATACTGGGTGAAGGAGAACAAAAGGGGAAGAATTAGAACAACTCTAATATTATAATCAATACAATATATTTAAATTTTTTTCTCCTTTTTTCCAGTTTTGATTGTTTTGTTGACCTATTTTGAACTCCATCAACCACCTTTCTCTCCTGTACAGTACAGTCTACTGTTAACTCACTTATGAATGTTATACTTTCCTGTTCTAGAATTTTAGTTTTGTTTTTTTAATATGTTGCATTTCTCTGCTAAGATTTTTCATCTGTTATGTCCATATTTTTGTCTAGATTATAGTTCTATTTTCTTGTCTCTCTTCATGTACAGTAATTTTTTATTAGATGCTGGAAGTTTTAGATGACAGTGTTTGTAGGTTTGGATTATATTCTCTTCCTTTATAGAGTGTCAAATGGTGTTCTGGCAGGCAGCTAAAATACTGTTGGAGCCTGTTGAGCTTATTTTTTACGCCTTTAGATTTTGTCGTTATCCGAGGATGTGTTCTTTTCTTTAGGCTTGATCCTTACTCCGAAAGCCTGGCCTTTCTGGAGTCTCAGTTGGATGCACACAGTGCTCAGCATGTTTCTCCACGTGTGGCTGCAGCAGAACTTTGTCTCCTGCCACTTCACACTCCCTGCCTCTGTCATCTTCCGGTCCTGCTGCAGCTGCTCCCTGTTCGGTCTCACGGTTGCACTGTGCGAATGTACACAGTGCCCCGAATGTTCTCAGCAACCGCTTCAGGAAAACCCCATGCAGACTTCTGGTCCCTTTTTTGCACTGTAAATTTCATTTTATCCACACCTCATACTCTGATCTCATCCTCCTAAGCCCTGTGAAACTGTTGCCTTTTGAGCTTCACCTCCCCACACCACACTGGGATTGTGTCCCCAGGTTGAAAAAACTGGAGCACATGTGGACTTTGTTTTCCTCTCAAAGATCGCAGGATATAGCAATAGCTGTCGGTCTCAAAGACCTGTACCAATCACTAAAATATATTGTTATAATTATTGTATTTTATTAGTTATTGTTGTTAATGTCTTACTGTGCCTAATTTATAAACTAAACTATCATACGTGTGTGTATAGGAAAAAGTAGTATCTATAGGGCTCAATAGTGTCCATGGTTTAGGCCTCCACTGGGGGTCTTGGTACATACCCCCCACGGGTGGGGGACAACTGTTCAGTTCCTTCTGCAGGGTCTGTAAATCGCTATGTGGAGGTATTCGCTGGTTTAGAATGTTATGATACTTCATCCATACGCGATTTATTCACTTGTTTTTTTAATCCCCAATGAAAATCTAGGGAATAGTATTCATTATTAAATACCAGAGACATGCACCAGTATAAAACACAAAACCTTTCTCTCCTAAAACTCATTAAGCCGAAATATGATTGGATCTTATTTAGTAAAACATTGAGAAGCATAGTTCTATCTTGTACATTTTTCTCCTGCTTTGACATGTCATTCATGTTTACTTATCGTTAGAAAACTTTGATGAAACTGCTTTTCTTCATGGGTGAACCTTTACTGTTGGGGCATTTGGCAGGGGCATTGAAGCTAACTAAAACAAAAGCTCTAGGTTCAATGTGTCTCTGTGAGAAGGCTCAGGCTCCCTCTGGTGGCAACATATCTTACTATTTTTATTGGAAAAAAAAACAAACCATTGATAACGTGGGAGATGAGGTTGTCAGGGTGAAGTGATGGCTCCAGTTAAACACAAAACAGACGCCTGGTGCCTTAGATAAAGATTCAGCTCGAAGCCCGTGGAAGGGGCTCCTGAGCAATCTTCCCTAGCCAGGTTGCTTGGTTCCATGGCTTCTCACCCTTCTTTACTTGTGAGCAGGGGAAAGGAAAGGAGGGAAAGGTTAAGGCATCTCCTTACCCTATCTATTCTGACCACTGAGGAATGTGATGAGAAGTTACTGAGGTATTTATGAAGTGCTTTGAATTCCTTAAATAAAGATGTTTTGTGAACTTACAGTTTTCTTAGTAACATTTCAGCTCTTAGCTTCCTTTTAGAGCAGTGGTTGGTCGGTCATAAGACCACAAAAATAATAAGTCAAATGCTGCCATACTTATTAAGGGTAAAATAGTTTACAAAATATAGAATATGATATAGTATGATATTTTCAAGGTAGTATAAATGGAATATTTGGGAAACGAGGAGGGAGACTATATATGCAATGATGGGGGTTAAATGCTTTGTAGATTTATGAATGTTATTGTTTTAGTGTTTTAGAAGAAGAAAATGGATTCTGAATGATATTGTGTCGAACTAATTTCTTTGAAAATGAATATTAATTTAAATTGGGCTATTGCTATAAGGTGCGGATGAGGGATGCTTTTAAAGAATATTGGACTAATATGGGACTGTGTGTGTATTTTTTGTATATGTTGTATCTGTTGGCAACATAGGGTTCTATTTCCTCAGGGACTTATTTGGAGAGTTCAAGTAAAACATCTGCAAAATTAAGGGCCTCTTAATTAAGAAAAATGACTTAAATTTTCACAGCTTTCTAAATGCTTTTGAGCTGCTGATCATAAATTCATCCTAAGTTATTGATTAAATGTGTGCAGATGTAAGCATGAAAATAATACATTCCTCATTAGCATATGTTTACATTTGTTGAATCACAGGTGGTCCAGCAATTGGAGGAAATTAGCATTTTTTTAAGCTTTGGAACTTTTCCCTGCCTGAAAGCTGTTTGAACTTGCTGGCCATTTCAGAACTCTGTAGTTAAATATATGAGTGAAGGTGCCACTCATGATCTTTAATCATCTAGACTAAATTCCTGAATCTTTTAGGACCAATATTTATGGCTGGAAGGACTGATATTCTCATTTAGGTTAAGATAACATTTCTGCTAATACTTTTGAGATGGGAATGAAAGGCATTTCCTGTGGAATTGCAGCAATAGTAATTTTTTTTGTAACATGAAAATACCTTACTTTTTCTGATAATTAAGGTAGGAAATTTTCTTAGCTAAGAAAAAAAATGAGAGAAGATAAGTCTAAATAAAAGTAAAACTCCTGCAGTTCTAACACTCAGAAGTATCCACGTTAGTGTCTTCTAATATTGGCACCTTCCCTGGCGGTGTTACTGAGTGGTTGACATATTGTCCAGTGAATTGGGCAAGCCAAATGTAGGAAAGGTGGATTCCATACAGGAAATCCTCTAAAGGAAGCACTTCTTTAGATATTTTTAAGCATGCAATTTTATTTTTATTACAAAATCTATTAACAATATCATATTTTAATGTCTGAGACCAAGATTTTATTCCCTCTCCTTTTTCATCCATGTTTTGACTCCTTTTGAGTTGAATGAAACATCTTTACCAGACTTTTTTCTCTATAGAAGTTAAAACTACTTAGTCAATTCAGTGCTAGAAAGTAGCTTATTGTATCCTGTGGGCTCAGAAAGCCCTACCGGAATGCGTTGTGGTGCCCTTATTAATTGAGAAAAATGAAAGCAGTGATAATACCGTATGTTGAAAGTGATACTGATACAGATAATGAATATAAAATTCCACAGGGCAGTGTGGAATTGCTTAGCTCCAGGCCTTTTCATTGTTAGGGTTTGGGTCTTTCTTTGGGCCTGTTTTTAGATCTCAGTTCTCTTGAAAGGACGGATGAAAGCTTATCATTTTCTTACTAGCAAAAAGACATTCTGGGGAGACAATTGCATTGCTAATAGATTTCTAGTGTTCCTTGTTGTGGGAAGTGTGAGCACACGAATGCTGGCTGAATTTCCTGTTCTAGGAAGTTCAAGGGCATGGTGCAACGATTTTCTGCGCAAGTCACTCTTGCAAAAGAGATTTGTGGGTCTATACGTAGGGATGGCGAAGGGCATATGAGGGTGACAGCATTTGTGGGCACATGCCGTTGCCCAGAAATGGCACAGTGTCAGCCGTAACATGAAAGATGGGTCCGTGGCACTCAGTCTGCTGGTCTGGGCAGTCCCACTGTTTCCTTTCCCCTTGTGGCTGGTGTTTCTACCAGGTAATCACAGATCATGTTGGGACTCTTTCTCTTAACAACCGGGATGAGGTTTGTTGTTGTTGTTGTTGTTGTTACTTAGAAATAGCTACAAGGACCAGAAATGGAAACCTCAAATTATTCTTCACTGGAATATCACCACTGGAGGGGGTGCAGATCTGACCCTGTAGTTCCAAGCTCCATCATCAAAGGAAGCCCTGTTGTGGCTGCTTTTACTGTTGTTCTTGTTCAGTGCTACTACCAGATAAACTATCCTGGTGTCTTTCTACCAACCACCCCACATTAGTTCTGTTGGCCCAGCCTTGCCTTTTCATCTCAGCTGGCAAATAAGAACTTCACAGTCCAAAAACTCCCAACTGTTAGTGTTGTAGCTCTGCTAAAGTTAGCTGCGAGATTGTTAGATGAAGTGTGTTTGCAGAGATGACTGCTGTTTTCTTGATTTATAGGAGAAGCCCTGATATCCAAGCTAAAGAAGAGTTATGGAAGCATATTCAGTGAGTACTGTTTTTTTTTTCCGCATTGTTTTAAAACTCGTGTGGTTTTAAGGCATTGATGAGGAAGACCCCTGACAGCGAGAAGCAGCCCAAGGCTGAAGCCTGTCAGACAGCCTTCATCGCCGTCATTACGGGAAACAGGGAACGCACCGTGGTGGTGCCTGGCGGTGCCAGGAGCCCGACATCTCTGCTCCTAAAGCCACTTAGCCTTGCCTGTAATTGGGCCTCCGACAGGCCAATACTTTACAAATAAACACCAAGAAAAACAGATTCAGAAGGAAAAAAGCTACCTACTGCAGGGGAGAGAAGTACAGAATTTTGTAGAGAAACTAAGAGAGTCTGGAGAGCCACCGATGTTGGATATTGATAAATTGGAAGAAAGCGGAAGAACTACTGAAAAGGTTTTCCTCCCCCTTTTCCTTGAATACATTCCAGTTTTTAAATATCTGTTACTGGCTTATGTTTCTGTTTGGTGTGCTAATACCATGTTTTGGGACACGGTGTGAAAGGCATTAGTATTTATTTATACCAGCATCACAACTTTAATTCTCTCACTCCCTTCTAGGAAGGAACTTGTGGATCCGTCGGGGCTGTCAGAAGAACAGTTAAAAGAGATTCCATACACTAAAGTAGAGTGAGTATGTCTTTGAAAATCTTTTCATAGAAGTTTTATTCATACTTGGAAGTTAGTAATTCATTCTTGCTTTCTATGCAGTGCTTAAATTTGCCTTTTCATTTTAACTAAAATGAAAAACAACTGTAGGGAAAGAAGAAGAAAGGGTGTATTACAGCGAATCCTTCCCCTTTTGTACACAGTCACTGTATCTCCTATTAACTGTTTGTATGTGGTAGGCACAAAGGGACTTTTGATGATGATGTTAGTTCTAAAATAAATTCCTTTTCTGAGATACTCATTGATCGGTAACAAAGTTTCTTTTTATTCATTATTTAACACCAAGAGAATCATGTTGACTACAAACCTCATCATGTAAGTCCAATCCAATCCCTATCACAGAACCAGCACAGTGAATGTGCTTTGTGAAAACATAGGGCTTTCTGAATCACCACTCAGCGTGGGAGGCAGCAGGTGGCCTGTTTACGCAGTCTTCTGTCCTGGCTGTGATGGTCAGAGAACGTAGCAGTCTACTTCACTGCTTTATTTACCTTCTCTAACTCATGCTTCCTTTTCACTCCAGTCAATTTGCAGGTTGGTATGCACTCTCCCCACCTCCATCCCCCAACTCCCTCATTTTTAGGCCAAAGATTGAATTCTTAATAACAGGCTAGTTAGTATAGCTAGACAATCACCAGCTTTTTCTGGTAGGAATGCCCTTTGTCTGCATTGTAGAACTACAGGAAAGAATTCAACAATCGGGAATAATCTCATTACAATCTAGCAGTTGAAAGTAATATGCACACAGTAAATGTGTATACAAATACTGTAAAGAGTTTCATTTTTGTGTATGGTTGAAGAGCAGTGTTCTGTTTTTAACTTGTGAAATTGAAGCCATTTAGTCTTTCCAAACGCAGAGGAGGGGTCAAGTTTGTTTTTGTTTTTTTTAATTCTCAAAGTCATTATTCCTTCATGGTATCAAATATTAAGGAATTATCCTGTTCCGACTTATTGTGTGTTTGTTTCCACGTTTTTCGGTTGCCTGTTCAGGACCCAAGGAGACCCGATCCGCATCAGACATTCTCACTCTCCGCGAAGTTACCGCCAGTATCGAAGGTCCCAGTGCTCAGATGGAGAGCGCTCGGTTCTGTCGGAAGTGAAGTACGTAGGCGGCAGGCCTGGGCGCAGCGTCACCCTCGGGGCTCCAGAACAGCACAGTCCAGTAGAACTTCTTGTGATGATAGAAATGTTTTATACCTGTGGCTATTAAATATTTGAAATGTGGGTAGTGTGGCCAAGAGCTATATGTTGAATGTTATTAATTTTAATTAATGTAAGTAGCCATATGTGGCTGGCTAGTGGCTACCATATTGGGTAGTGCAGATCTAGACCAGACTTAGGCTAAATCATGGCACTTCCAGGCTGTGCACTAGCGCTTTCAGAAGAAAGGGAGAAAGTGCAGAAGCTGTTCTGTTGTGAATGATGCAGCCATATTTGAGAGAAGGTGGCATTAGAGATTTTGGTTTTTGGTTTGATGGCATTTTGCTTTTTCTTTTCCTACAGCAAATAATCATATTACAGTCATTTATTTCATTGTGGTTTTTTTTTTCTTGTGAGAAAAGTGACCATTATCTGGCTTGGCATGATAGGTGATATCCTTTAAATGAGTATGTTAATGAAATAATTATGCATCCATTTGTAAAAGTACTATAATCTTAGAAATTCATGTTCTTTGTATTGCTGAGTAGGAATGTTAACCAATAAAATGAATTAAGGCTCAAAACTTTGATAAACATGAATACATTGGGAGATGGGCTAGCCTGGTGGAGAGAGGCATAGGCCAGGTTTCGTTTATTTTTTTGTTTATAAAATGTAGGTGATGGCTGTCTATAGCACTACAGGTTCATAAAAAAGCACCAATGGCCAGTGAATGTTAGAAACAAAAAGTCCTTTATACATGTCACAGTTAGATAAGCACATGCTTTATTCTTGGTTCTTCTGTGTATTTGCTTTGATTCTGGGCAAATTACTTAACCTGTTTAACTTAATTCAGAAACATTTATTCAATACCTCAGCATTGTGGTGGGTACTGTAAGGAATACAAAGAAGTATAGAATATGCATTCTAGGCTGTAGCCCTCTTTCAGCTCAAATTGTGATTCTCAGAAATAATTCTAAAACTCTCTCTCTGCAGCTCAAAAACGGACCTTGTGCCCCCGCTTCCTGTGACCCGCTCTTCAGATGCCCGGGGTTCTGGGGGTGCCACGGTTCATCAGGTTGGTAGTGATACAGTTTTAAGGAGGTCTTATACTGATGACAGTTTTGAGAAGCGCTTCTCTGAAAGTTATTTGGGGAGGTAGGAAAATGAATTTTTAACTTTACTCTGAGATTCTGTGTTTTAAAAGAACATGTACAGAACATGGAAGGAGAAGGAAGGAGGAGTGGTTGTGTGGCCCAGACAAGGCACAACGGGGAGGGGGGGGGGCCGGGAAGCGCTATGTTGGGAGTGTGTGAGAGAGAGAGAGAGAGAGTGCAAGGCCTAGAGGGATCTGAGGCTTGGGGCGAAGCCAAGGATAACAAAGATTGTAAGATTGTTTGGAGCCAGAATAAAGTAACAATGGCTTCACTAATTCAAAACAAAACAAAACAAAACAAAAACCTTCTTAAGACTTTTAGATATGTTTGAGCCAGAGAAACACGGAGAAAGTGATCGACACTTGGTGGGGCAGATGCTCCATTGATATCTGATGGCAGACAGGAGGATTCTTCAAGTCCTGTTTCATTTCTGTCTTCTCCATCAGAGGGAATTACCTTTGTTTTGGAAACGTTTTTAAAATGTGGTTAAAGGGGAATCCAAGGACATAGCAAAGAATCTAGCTGCCTTGACAAAATCAAATTAACACTCAGCTAAGTTAGATATTTCAGGGGAATACTGTAGCAAACATTCCAGTAAGGTGTTTGACATCACCTCTCATGGTATTTGTTTTAGTAGGCTAGGAAAAAAATGTAGTCTCTATAAGATCAGTGGGTGGATTTATATCTGGTTAAACAACCACTCTAAAAACAAAGTTGATGTCTATAATGGATCTAATGGGATGTTTACAGTAGATCAGTGTCAGCCTGTTGTTTGCAGTGCTGTGGTTTTCAGTCCTTTTTGGATTTCAGATCCCTTTAAAAAGCTAATATAACTACTGTCTCTCTCCCATAAAAATACATGTAAGCACACAGGCAGCTTTGTATATAAATTCTTGGAGTTCAAGGACAGCCCAAGAACCCTGACCCTGGCAGTATTCATCATGTGTTGCCCTTTGCTTGTTTTGATTCATTTTGCCAAGAACAGAAAAAACCCTATGCTCATTTTTAGGTTAGGTTGTCTAGAAACAGATTCTGAGATAAGCATTTTGCATGGAGGAAGTTTATTGCAAAGCGCTTTTAGGATTAATACCTGCTGGAGAGTGGAAGAGGTTTGGGCAGAGAGGAGAGAGGAGCTGTGTAGTACTCATACAGCCCCACTAAAGGCATCGCTGACTCCACAGGAGCTCCGGAGTTGAGACGCCTCTTCTAGTTCATTTCACCTGGACTCAAGGGGGTTAGGCCTTCACACACTCACATTCACTATGTAGCTGTCGTTGTATTAAGGGGACCCCTGAGGGGGGACATGACCTTGGGCCAGGTGGCTCTCTTCAGCTGAGGGAATTTCCTGCAGAGGGGCTGGGTTTTGAGCTGTATTGCAGCCTTCACTCCCAGCAGCTGGGGGAATGAATGCCTCAGTGTAGAAGATCAGGTGGTTAACCCAGCTTCCACTACAGTCTGCATAATATTTGATTAGATGAGTCTGGGAGAGCTAATAGGCTGTTCAAACAGATAATTTGTTTGAAATCAATAGCACTTTTAAAAAATTGCTTTCATATTTGTAGTTGGGGTTTTGCATCAAGACTGACCTGCATTTGTGTCTCCTTATCTCCACATACTTACTACTTGTGAGACTTTAGGCAAAGAATTTCACTTCTAAGCCTCAATTTCTGTGCAGTTTAGATAATAACTTGCCTTTTAGATTACTGCAAGGAGTAATAAGCAGTTATCTTTCAGAGCTTTTTTCAATCTTAAATTTAAGGTGATTTTAATACAAATAGGAATTTTACTTTATTGTAGTTTTGCTTTTCTGATTACTCCCTAACTCAGCAATTTTCAACTGGTGTGCCACCAGAATTCAAAAACATGCAGTACCCGACAGGTCAGGGCACTGATCCCTTTTCCCTTAGATTCATTCTCAAATGAAAAAAATACAGCCGCTAACTCAATAATAGCCATCTAATGTGAATGAATCAAAATTATACCTACTTTTTTTTGGTCAATTGGCAAAAAATACATGTTTTAGTGTGCCACAGAACTTTAGTAATTAGTTTACATGTGCCATGAGATGAAAAAGTTTGAAAATCACTACCCTAGGTGATCACCACCACTTAGGAATCTTAAAAAACCTAAAGAATTCACATTAAATGCCACACATAAGAACAATTCACTTACATCTTCTGATCAGTGGCACTGGTTCTAAGGTGGTCACTGGGACACCTTTGATTTTGAACTGAACAAATAGCTAATGAGCACATCTAAGGAGCAGCAGGCACTGGCCTGGGCAATCAGTAAACCACAGCCTGCGGGCCAAAGGCTGCTGCCTGTGTCTGTAGCTCAGAAGCTGGTCATGATTTTTACATTTTTAAAGAGTTTTTTAAAAAGGAGTACGTAACAGAAACCAGAGGTAGTTCACAATCTGGCCCTTTACAGAAAAATGTTTGCTGCCTCCTGGACTAGACGGAGGATGGAGGAGTATCAGACCTAAAAGTAAACAGGCAGACAGAACACAAAAAATTAGGTAAGCATTACAAAGGAACAAAGGCCTGATTAGAACATCGAAGGGGACCTTTCTTTCCCAGGGCAGTCAGAGAAGGCCTTCTCAGAAAGTGACAGGCAAGCTGAAACCCGACAGGTGAGGAGGAGCCAGCCAGGGAAGCGGGAGGGAGGCTGGCGTAAGCGGCAGGGAGAGCACAGACAACAGGAGGCTGGGACAGGCCTGGGTGCTTGAGAAGCTGTGGCCTGAGCACAGTGGAGTAGAGGGAAGGACAGGTAACTCGGGGCCTTAGATGCTGTGGGAAGAGTGGATTTTATTCCAAGTGCAAAAGGAAACCACCGCTACAGTTGCCAGGAGGGAGGTGTGCAAGCAGGAAGGTCGCATTTCCTGAGTTCCACCTTGGAGCCAGAACAGGCGCCTGGCCTGCCTGTGCCCCACCTCGCCTTTTCATACCGAAGGCTGATGTGAGTGAGGTGCATCAGGGACTTTGACTCACTCATTTCCTTAAGGGTTTGCAGGCAGAGGGGACATATTTTGTCCCAGACAAACTTAAAAACATGTAATGTTTGTTTCAGGTAACCTCCCAGCTCCTGTCTGGTGATGCTTCTGATGTATTAGCTCCCTTCCCGTGCCCTGACCCTCATGTGCACTGGTTTGTCTGGAAATCTTCCATCCCAGACAGTCACATGTTCCAAAGTTATCTTGATTCATACTCCCCACATGTGTTGTTCCTTCAGTGCTTCTGTGAATGCCAGTAAAACAAATTAAGCCAGTCATAGGAACTTTTAAAGTGATGATTTTTTTTAACCCAAATTAATCCAAAATAGAATTCTGGATAGCGAAGCTCCTTTTGTGTGGCATATGGTTTTGGGGGATAGTAAATATGCTTGTTACCTGACCTACTGCCCCATGAGGCCATCGCTAGGAGGTAAGAGCAGGAAGGCTCAGCAGAGCAGGGAGCTGTGAGGTACTGTTAGTGTCATTCTCAGGGCCTCCGCCTGGCATCATGGAGTCGGGGGTGAGGGGACACATGATCCGATTCCAGAAGTGCTGGGGGTGGTACCCAGGTTCTGGTAGTTTGATTCCGTCTCTCTGATGAGGTCCTCCTCCACCCCAGCTGACAGGAATCTCTAGCACCAAGTGATAGGGGCCCCAGGGCATTGTGTTATGGGAGTTTCATTCAGTGACTATGGGGATATAATGAAGAAAGATTATAAATTGTCCACAACTTCCTATTCTCTTTGCCCCTCCTTAGAAAAGTGGAAGGCGGGAGAGCCTGGTTGAGGAATGGCTACAAAGAAAATGACAATGGGAGCGCTGGGTTGAGATTTATGCCTAATTTTCATGAATAAAATGTTTATGCATATAACTGCCAGAACTAATTTTTCTATATTAAGACTTAAACACAATCATGTTATCATAGGTAGCTAGAGGGAGTATTTGAACAGCTTTTGGTATTATGAACTTTTTTCTTATAACTTGATGTCTCTCATATAAGAAAATATTAATTTCTGATATATTCATGAATTTACCTGTATTATCTTCTGAATCTTACTATTTTTCTTCTAGAGAAGAAATGGGTCTAAAGATAGCCTGATTGAGGAAAAATCTCAGGCACCTACAAGCAATCTGGCTGGAAAACATATAGCAAAAACAGTAAAAACTATCCAAGCTTCACGCCTCAAGACAGAGACTTGATCCCAGTGAGGGGCTTGGGGTGGGGGTGGGGTGGGAGGGTGTGTGTGCTGCCCTTACTTTGAAGCTGTGAATTATCATTATTCAAGTGTCTCGGACCTGCAAGTGTTTGTCCAGAAGAATTGAGTCTGTTGCTTCTTTAAAGGTTTTACAGTGTATTTGTGCTGAAGGGCCTTTTTATCTGGTAACTGGAAGGACAGTCTTGTAAAGACTCATTCACTGGATCCATATCCACAACCAAAACCAGAGGCTTCTGACCTGAGGTCTGGAATCCTGGACCGCGGCTGGCTAACCACACAGCAGCAGCATGCCAGGTGGGATGAGAAAGGTCTTCCCAGCTCTGGGTGGGTCTTGGCCTGTGCAAACGCGTGACAACTGTGGTCACATCACTTTGAGACTGTAGATATTTTTATTCATATGTTCTTTGTAAAGCTGTATTTTGTGGCATTGAGTTCCACTGGTTATTTACAGATGTAAAGCTTTTTGTTTGAAAGCATTGCTTTTAATTTCTAGTGTTCTTTTCATTAAAAAAAGCTATATGTGGATTTTAGCTTATAAATTTATTACTCTCAACCTCAAATGGTCCCTCCATTGTGCTGGGCTACCTGACTCTCCTCAAAGACTATCTGAGACCTTTCCCCTGTGCCGATGACTTTGCTATGTACTTTACACGGAAAAGACTAATACGAGCCATGTTTTACCTTCCACTCACACCTCTTCCCCAAGTGGTTCTTTCAAGCTCACCTCCTTAATTAAGGTTTATTTCTGTAGCTGAGAGAACATGCCAGTGTTCTTCCAGGAGACCCAGTTTAAAATGCTGCTTCCCCAGCTGGGCTTAGGGCATTATTGTGCTCATCTCCACACCTAGCAATCATATGGACACCTCCCTCTCCTATTACCAGGTCCTGTTACCTCTGCCCTCCATAGCTTAATTATCCCTCTACTAATTGGCCACCAAATTGGATATAGTAGCCTCCAGTTGGTCCACCGGTATCCTTTCTTGTATACGTGAACTAGTGCTATACCATAGGATTTCCCCTTGCTTCAAACATAGCCTTAGTCTGGCATCTTACCTGTTCAGTCTGTAACATTCCCAGCTTTCACTATGGCCACCTAACATGCCTCATTAAGCACTCAACTCTGTCTACATCAGAGCACTAATGAGGGAAAGCAGCTATAACTGCCACAAGTAGGGACTCATGGCTATACCCTCTCTAGCTAAAGGCCCTCTACACATGCCATTCCCCCAACTTGGTCCAGCAAAACTGTCACCTACCCTTGGTCCCAACTCTGCTTTCTCAGGTTTCCTGACTTGGTTGGATCTGTCTCACAAAGGAGGCTTTACATTTGTGATGACATTTCCCTCCATTCATTTGTAATCTTCCAAAGGGTGGGACTGTTTTACTCACTGTTGTGTTCCCAGATCCTAGCACTTACAATAAATTTTCTGAATTCTTTCATTATTTGTTCTTTCCTGAAAAGTGAAGGCAGAAGACATGCCGATGCAAAGTTTACAAATTTAGTAAAAAAAAAAAAACAAACGCAGTGACAAGTCAGCAAAGGCATACCCATGCCCTACACACCAACTAGTCTAGTTCAGTTCCTCACGAGGCACCAGAAGAAAGAGCACATCTCTCCCTGGGCCTACCATAAATCTATCAGTTATAGCAGTGAATGTTAATCTTAACTGCTGAGACTTAACAAGTTTGAAGTTGCTGGGTGAGAAGGGAGAAATCCTGATTTTTCTGTAAAAGAACACTATTTCCCGGCAGTCACACAATACACAAATCCCCAAGAAGCACATTTTAATTTTTTTTTCACACTCATTGTTTGAATTGTGTATTTATGGGTTGTGGCAAAGTGGTTAGGGTACTCCACACACTCTTTGAAAATTTTAAATGATCCAAGCAACTCTTCTGAAGATCAGCTTTTCAAATTCATCAAAAAATCCTACAAGAAAAAACAAACACCCTCAGTTTTACAAGCAAATATTTACATGCATCACACCTTATTCAACTCTGTATACATGCTTCTGTACTGCACTGTTATGCAATCCTGGAGACAGATTTAAATGTCAACCTAAAACATGCCTGAGGTTTGGCTAGTGGTTCTTTTTCCCTGTAACTACTACACAAAGAAACATTGTAAATCAAAAATTAGCTGAAAACAAGCTATCCCATTTGCTATTAACTTCACCTTGTTAATTACAGATGTAGCAGTATTAATGAGTCACCAATTTAACACCCACAAAAGGCACCCCAGTGTAGAAAGGCGATCAAGTTCACATTACAAATACCTGCTTCTAGACAGAACTTCTTCAACATCTCCTCACCTTGGGTCACACATGCGCTCCCAGGTAGTGTTCAGCTAGTAGCAGCCCATGCTTCAAGCATCCATCTTTCACCTGGACAAAAATTAGTTAAAACCGGTTATGAGAAATTCCACACTAAATGTTGGTCAACTCAGGATCCCATGTGCAAACAAATTAATCCAAGGGCATACACTGTTACTTATGCAGCGCCTACACCAAAGATACCATATTCAAGGGCAGGAAAGGGCTGCAAAGTGTTTAGTTTACGCCTTTCTTGACACCACATTCACTAGTTTCCAAAAGTGAACGGGCAACACAAAGGCAACACCAAGTTGCTACACAAAGACCATCAGATCTAGGGAACAAGGTTGCCGACCTTAAGGCAACCAGCTGAGATGAACCGTTGTTGATTAGAGCTGGAACAGGAACGACGAACTAATCCCAGCTCTATATTCTCTTTTACAATTCAAAATGCGACAGCGTAATGAAAACAGAAACAAAGTGTTCTCGCATGGTTAAAATCTTAAGTTTAATGAGACTGGTCTTTTACACTAACATGAAAACTCACCTGCAGAGTTGGTGCTACTTATTTGGTTTCCGCCAAGTTCTGCACCGTGAAACGGCTGATCTGATCTATATCTTAAATGACTCTTCACTTCCACGCTGTGACAGGCCGTTCCCTTTCACAAAAATCTTCACTCATATTAAAAACTCCCTGGCGTACACGGTCGACGACCAATGAACTCAAAGCCACTCAAACCAATATCCCCAATTCCTGGCGTGGGAACGCAGACTGCGGTCCGCTTCGGGCCTCGCGAGGTTCCACCGCCAACGCGGCCGAGGACAGGCCAGCCGCTGCCATCCGAACACTCAGGGCTCAGGACCCCGAACCCGGCCGGGCTGCTGAGGGCGCTTCGCTGGGCTCAGGGCGGCCGCGCGACTGCCTACCGCCGCCCCCGCCGGCAAGAGGCCACGCGGCCACGCTCCCCGGAGCCACCGCCATCCAGGAATCACAGGAGACGCTACTTACCACCGGGGCACGAGGGCAAGAAAGGCCAAGCAACCCTCCCACAATGCTTTTCTACCGCTGGAAGAATCCACTGTCCTAAGGGCGCCGGGAGAACGGGCTGAACCATCGATCACCGCGCGCTCGCGAAACGCCGCCTTGTGGTGGGAGGGCGAAGTGCCCAGTGATTGACAGTGGGGCGGGTCTCCATGGCAAAAGGGTCTTTTGCTGCACTCCTTTTGCTTTGTGCGACCAGTTCTTTCCGCGGAGAAGGTTTTTTTGGTTTGTCGATTTTTTAAAATCAAATATGTATCTCCACCCACCTCGGCTCCCAGTGTCGGGAGCACTTGGTCAGCGCCGAGCTGCCCGTGTAGCCCAAGGGACTTGAGACCTTGTTCCTGGGGGAGGACAGAGAGTTCACCACCTCCAGCTGAGGAGAGTAAAGTCATTAATTCAAAAAATATTTACTGAGGACTTCGCTTCAGGCTGCGTTTTAAATGCCTGGGAATCAGGTATGAAGGAGATAGGCAAGATTCCTGCTTGCATCGTGGTTGGATGAGGGAGACACTGAGCAGGTAACACCCGGATGCTGTCAGTCCGGATAGTGTGAACCCCAGCAATGGAACAATAGTGCTGTCCTACAGCATACATTGCGAACCACGAGGGTGATGTAAACTTTTCAAAATGTCACATATAAAAAAGTAAGAAGTTACATTAATTTTAATAGTAACACAGGCTAAATATCATTTCACATGATATTAATCCAAAAATTAATGACACTTTCCATTCTTTTGTACCTACTAAGCCTTAAAAGGCCGGGATATGTTTTATATTGCTAGCACATTTCATCCCGACTAGTCACATTTCGGGTGCTCAGAAGCAGCCCTTGGCCCACGTGGCTGGGGCAACCAGAGGAGTGCAGAGTGGCCTATGCTGCAGCAGAAGATACAGGCAGCAGCAAATCATATAGAGCTTTGTACTTGTGGTAAGCAGTTGGGATTTTATGCTGAAATTTTAGAATTGATTATTACCATAAAAAATGAAGTGAAGGTCGTTTGCTGGCTTTTTGCTGATAATCATAACTCATGCAGGGGTAGGACTGTAGTGATACAGGCTATATGGGGACAACTGGTGTCTGCTCCCATAATCCCTAGTGGAGACTTGTCCAGACACCACATTGGAGCACCGTTGTTTGTTTATTTGAGGTTTACTGCTGAAAAAAAAAAAGGCATGGAAGGGAGGGAAGGAAAGAAAATTAAGCCCATTGCCCAGAGTGGTCAGCACACAAGGGCTAGCCTGGATGATAACGTCAACTTGGGGACAGAGTGGAAGAAAATGGCCACACAGAAGAAGTAAATGTATAATCACAAGAAGGTAAATAACTCTAAGACCTTCATTAGGAAGTCACTGTAACACCCCAGGGAGAGGAAGTTTGGGGAAGGAGGATGACAGCTCCAAGAGTGTCATTTAATGCTACTGAAGGGTACAGTGTGGGGATTGTAACACCTTAACGTTGCCTTCTTGCTGGAGAAAGTCGGGGAGAGGACATTGCACAGCCAGCTGACCCAGGTTTAGGTCCACCTCTGACAGGTGTCTCCTTGGGTAGATGAGCACTTCTCGGAATCCAAGCTTCCTTACTTACAGGATGTTAACTGTAACATGCTATACCCATGGACCATGTAGTTTAGTTTAAAGAACTG